ACTCTGTCTTAAAAAAAAAAAAAAAAAAAAAAAAAAAAAAAAAAAAGGAAAAGAAAAAAGGATATTCTCAAATTAGAACTCAGGATTAAGAAACTCAAAACCACACAACTACATGGAAATTGAACAACCTGCTCCTGAAAGATTCCTGGACAAATAATGAAATTAAGGCAGAAATCAAGAAGTTATTTGAAACCAATGAGAACAAAGAGACAACATACCAGAATCTCTGGGACACAGCTAAAGCAGTGTTAAGAGGGAAATTTATAGCCCTAAATGCCCACATCAGAAAGCTAGAAAGATCTCAAATCAACACCCTAACATCCCACTTAAAAGAACTAGAGAAGCAAGAGCAAACAAACCCAAAAGCTAGCAGAAGACAAGAAATAACTAAGATCAGAGTACAACTGAAGGAGAGAGAGACATGAAAAACCCTTCAAAAAAATCAATGAATCCAGGAGCTGGTTTTTTGAAAAGATTAACAAAATAGATAGACCATTAGTTAAACTAACATAGAAGAAAAGAGAGAAGAATCAAATGGACACAATAAAAAAAGATAAAGGGGATATCACCACTGATCCCACAGAAATACAAACCACCATCAGAGAATACTATAAACACTTCTATACAAATCAACTAGAAAATCTAGAAGAAATTGGTAAATTCCTGGACACATACACCCTCCCAACACTAAACCAAGAAGAAGTTGAATCCCTGAATAGACCAACAGCAAGTTCTGAAATTGAGACAGTAACAAATCACCTATCAAGCAAAAAAGCCCAGGACCAGATGGATTCACAGCTGAATTCTACCACAGGTACAAAAAATCGGTAACGTTCCTTCAGAAACTGTTTCAAACAATTGAAAAAGAGGGACTCTTCCCTAACTCATTTTATGAGGCTAGCATCATCCTGATGCTAAAACCTGGCAGAGACACAACAAAAAAAGAAAATTTCAGGCTAATATCCCTGATGAACATTGATGCAAATATCCTCAATAAAATCCTGGCAAACTGACTACAGCAGCACATCAAAAAGCTTATCCACCACGATCAAGTCGGGTTCATCCCTGGGATGCAAGGCTGGTTCAACACATGCAAATCAATAAATGTAATCCATCACATAAACATAACCAGTGACAAAAACCACATGATTATCTCAAAAGATGCAGAAAAGGCCTTCAATAAAATTCAACATCCCTTCATGTTAAAAACTCTCAATAAACTACAAATTGATGGAACATATCTCAAAATAATAAGAACTATTTATGACAAACCCACACCCAATATCATACTGAATGGGCAAAAGCTGGAAGCATTCAAACTGGCACAAGACACGGATGCCCTCTCTCACTACTCCCATTCAACACAGTATTGGGAGTTCTGGCCAGGGCAATCAGACAAGAGAAAGAAATAAAGGGTATTCAAAGAGGAAGAGAGTAAGTCAAATTGTCTATTCATGGATTGTATTTAGAAAACCTATTTTTAGAAAACTCAAAAGCTTCTTAAAGCTTCTTAAGCTGATAAGCAACTTAAGGTCTCAGGATACAAAATGAATGTGCAGAACTCACAAGCATTCCTATACGCCAACAATAGACAAGCAGAGAGCCAAATCATGAATGATTTCCCATTCACAAATACTACAAGGAGAATAAAATACCTAGGAATACAGCTAAAAAGGGACATGAAAGACCTCTTCAAGGAAAACTACAAACCACTGCTCAAGAAAATCAGAGAGGACACAAACAAATGGACAAATCTTCCATCCTCATGAATAGGAAGAATCAGTATCACAAAAATGGCCATACTGCCCAAAGTAATTTATAGATTCAATGCTATTCCCATCAAACTACCATGGGCATTCTTCACATAATTAGAAAAAAAGACTTTGAATTTCAAATGGAATCAAAGCAATACAACCTTGTTTTACTGTGCTTCACTTTACTAGGATTGACAGATACTGAGTTTTCCACAAATTGAAGGTTTTTAGCAACCGTGTAGGGAAGTCTATCAGCACCATTTTCTAACAGCATGTACTCATTTCATCTCACAATATTTAAAGATTTTTTACTGTTATGATATCCATTATGGTGATCTGTGATCAGTACTGTTTTCTTTTCTTTTCTTTTTTTTTTTTTTTTTTTTTGAGATTGAGTCCAAGCTGGAGTGTAGTGGCACAATCTCGGCTCACTGTAACCTCTGCCTCTGGGTTCAAGCTATTCTCCTGCCTCAGCCCCCCAAGTAGCTGGGACTATGGGCACCCACCACCATGCTCAGCTAATTTTTGTATGTAGAGATGGGGTTGTACCATGTTGCCCAGGCTGGTCTCGAACCCCTGACCTCAGGTGATCCACCCACCTCGACCTCCCAAAGTGCTGGGATTAGAGGTGTGAGCCACCGTGTCCAGCCAATGTGATGGGTGCTTTTTGATGTCACTATTATAATTGTTTGAGTGGAGGGTGCTACAAATCACTCTCATATAAAACAACAAACCTAAGTGATGAATGTTGTCCATGTTCTGACTGCTCCATGGACTGGCCATTCCCCTGCCTCTCTCTCCCTTCAACTCCCTGATTCCCTGTGTAGCAGGATGAGCCACAGACAAAACTCCTGAGACACCAAGTTAAAGAAGGAAGGGATTTATTCGGCCAGGGGCATCAGCAAGACTCCTGTCTCAAGAGCTGAGCTCCCTGAGTGAGCAGTTCCTGTCCCTTTTAAGGGCTCACAACTCTAAGGGGGTGCATGTGAGGGGGTCATGATTGAGCAAGCAGGGGGGTACACGGGGGTACATGACTGGGGGCTGCAGGCACTGGTAATTAGATTGGAACAAAACAGGACAGGGATTTTCACAGTGCATTTCTATACGATGTCTGTAATCTATAGCTAGGTCAGGGGTCGATGTTTAACTACCAGGCCCAGAGTGTGGCGCCGGGCCGTCTGCCTGTGGATTTTATTTCTGCCTTTTAGTTTTTACTTCTTCTTTCTTTGGAGGCAGAAATTGGGCATAAGATGATATGAGGGGTGGTCTCCTCCCTTATTCCCCTCTTTTGAGACTCTCACTCATTTTATTAGTGGGAGTTCTCACTTTCATTTTTACTACCTATGTCTTCTTGCAAGACAGATCAATAGTGATTCATACAGTACACTTGTACTGAAGCATTTTGGTGAACTAAGGTAGCGATGAAGCTTTTTACCATTTGAAGAAGTACAGGTAACAAACAAGGGAGCAGTAGGCAGACTCCTATTATTATTATAACTCCTATTATAAGAGTTTTAAATCCTCCTAGCACTGGGAACATGGCCCCAGGATCAAATCCATGCCACATTTGCATGGGCACATGTGCCAGTTTTATCATATCTCTAATTATGTCTTCAACTACTTGCCCTCAATCATCTATTTGTAGACAGCAATTAGTAAGGCTAAATTTCCCACAGACCCCTCCTTCAGCTGCTAGCAAGTAGTCAAGAGCCAATCTATTTTGACAGCATTTCTCATCTGAGTTTCTTGATGGGCCAGAATAGTCAACGCTCTGCCAGTTTTATTAGTGATTATTTCTAAGACAGTTTGTAACCATATGATTTGGTTGATCATGTAAATGGGGGTCCAGTATCCTCATGAGCCATCTTGTGCCTAAGTAGCAGGCCTATAATACTGTATGATTCTCTCAGGGGGCCATTCATCACCTTTCCAATTTCCTATAGCTATGCTTCTCTTTTCGTGGGAAACACAGACAGGGAAACCTAGGAGTTCGCCTGTTTTCATGGGCAGTAGGAAGAAAGATGGTTTAATAGTGCCAATAACACAACTGCCTGCCCACTGGTCAGGTAATTTGGCATAAGCTTTATGCCCACATATCCAATATAATCCAGTGGGGGCTGTCCAGTCCTGGTAGGACTCTGGGTGGGTCCACACGGTTTGGAACTTTGGGAATTTGCTAAATGAATTCCTCTCTGTTTGATTTGAACTCCACCAAGTGACTGTTTTTGTGGTATCACTATACAGTTTCTGTCTCAGACAACTAAGTCATCCTACGGGGTCAGTAAATTCTTCTCCTTATCTAGCTGTGCAATATTGTGCAATAATTGAGGCTTTTAGGACCTAGACATTATCAGGGTGATTCTTTTGAGCTGGGAATTCATCAGGAACTGGGTCAGTAGGTACTAATTCTTGGGCTTCCTATGGCCATTGATCTCCCATTATAGTTCCTCCACATACATAACATGAAGTGACACTGAGAGACTGTGCTACATGCTCAGCTAATTGCAAAAACAAATTTCTTGTTTTTCCTGGAATTTCTGGTATTGGTACTTTTAGTTCATCAGAAAATGTTTGAAACACTGGTTCAGGAGAGCGTCTGTAAACGAGAGCGTTTGTAAACTTCTCCTCGAACCAAGCTATTTACTTGAGGATCCAGTCCAGCCCCATTGATTCCTAAGGTCACACACTCTCCTTTTTTCCAGTAAGGATCAAGGGGATTGGTTATTACTAGCTCTAAGGGGTTACATTGTCCTTTAGTAAAGAAGGGCCATTTTTTCCTTTCTGAAGGTGGACTAGATCCTTTTCACTTTTTATCCAAGTGGACTAAATGACACATGACCAGTATCCGCATTCATTTCCACACAGTCCTAATTCACGACAAATGTACTTATTTTCAGTCATATAGCCTTTTTCCCAACTAAAAGAGCCACATTCCCTTCCTAACTTACTGCTATTAATGACAGCATAGAAATCAAATTTCAAGATTATGAGTTTGGGCACCCCTTTTTTCTGTTCTGGCTAATACTTTACTTGTATCACTTATGAGTCCTCACCAGTCTTCAGTCCTTAATCTTATTTCAAAAACTGTGGACATGGGAAACTCAGAAGGGTCATAACACACATCCAGTCAGTCGTTTCCTGGGCTACATACCTTGTACTGTCATTATATAAACATGTTCCTTTTAAAGTTCCTAGGCATTCATAGTAACTATAGAACAGAAAGATTGTTTTAACTTGTTGCCTTACCTCAGTAACCTGATGTATACACTGAGAGCAGTCCTCCGTGCAGGGAAAATCAGTGGAAGTTTTTACTATACAAGTCCAAATTATAAGGAAAATGAGTCCTACATTGATTCTCCTCATGCTTCTGCCATGCGTAGACCAGTCAGCTTCCAGGTGTGACTGGAGCAGGGTTTGCCGTCCTCCTCAGAGTCACTTTGCAGGAGTTGTCCAGGCTCGGTTTTGCCTCCTAGGTTTCATCAGCTGCAGGTCTCACATGGCTGTGGTGGATCCAGGCTGGGATTCCTTCTACCTTTACAGCCATGGTGGTGGTCAGAATGACAGTCTGAGGTCCTTTCCACCATGGCCTCAAAGGGGCTACATTCCAGTCCTTGATCCACACATGATCACCTGGAGAGAAAGGGTGAACTGGGGAGAATAACTTGATGGACACCTCTCATTTACCTAAGTTGGGATTGTTTGTGTAATTTTTCCTAAAGCCTGTAGCTGTCGCTGTAATTCAACTTCACCTAACTCGGGAAGTGCCTGGAAGCTCCCGTAGTATAGGAGGAGACCTATGATACAGTATTTCATAAGGGGGAGTATCCTGTTTTCTTAGAAAGAGTGCATCTAATTTTAAACAATACCATAGGAAGGACCTGTATCCACTTTAATCCTGTTTCCTGACATACTTTCCCTAAACTATTTTTGATGGTCCAATTCATTTGCTCCACCTTTCCAGAACTCTGAGGTCGGTAGGCATGTAGCTTCCAAGTGATTCCTAATGCCTTTGCTGTCTTCTGTACCAAGTCAGCCACAAACGCCAGCCTGTTATCTGAGCTGATTCATAAGGGCAGTCCAAACCTAGGAATAAGATCTCAGAGAAGCACACAGGTTACCTCATAGGCCTTTTCAGTTCGTGTGGGATAAGCCTCCACCCACCCAGAGTAAGTACACATAAGAACCAGCAAATACTTGTGACCTCCACATTTCGACATTTCTGTGAAATCCAATTGAAGATCCTCAAAAGGAGCCGCTCCATAAGCTTGTATACTGGGTGGAATGCTGGGGCCTTGCCTCACATTGTGCTGTTGGCAAGTAACACACAGTTGTGCTACTGCTTTGGCAAGGGCTGGCAAGTGTGAGACATAGAAGTACCGGTCTAACAATTTTTCAAGTGACTCTTGACCTAGATAATTGGTTTCATGCACAGCCAATATGATTGGGGCTCCTAGCAACTGCAGCACAGCTACCCTAGCATCTGGCAGTCTGATCCATCCTCCTTTTATTACTTGCCCCCCTTCTGCTTGGAAGAAATCTTTTTCTTCCTTAGAATAGGTAGATACCAGGTCAGGTGTTTGAGGGAGTAAGGGGGCTACTACCGATACCTGGTAAGGGGTAGATGCTGCTTTTCGAGCTTCTGAATCAGCTCGAGAGTGTCCTAAGGTCACTGAGGTGGAGGCTTGCTGGTGTCCCCTGCAGTGCATGACTGCCACCTTCTGAGGTTTCCACACTGCCTCTAATAATTGTAGAATTTCTTTTTGATATTTTATGTCCTTTCCCCCAGAGTTTAACAGACCCTTTTCCTTATAAAATACTCCATGCACTTGGAGGGTTAGAAAGGCATCTCAAGAGTCAGTGTAGATGTTTACAGTCTTACCTTCACTGAGTTCTACAGCCTGAGTTAGAGCTCAGCTTTCTGGGCTGAAGTGCCCTGTGGCAACGGTTTGGCTTCAATGACAACATCCAAAGTTACCACTGCATATCCTGCACATCTTTCCCCTTGTGCGTTAATGAAGCTGCTCCCATCCACGTATAACTCTCAGTCTACTGATGCCCATGGCTGGTCCTGAAGGTCAGGTCTGCTAGAATAGACTGAGTCCAACACCTCTATACAGTTATGCTCAACAGGGCTCTCTGATACTGGGAGCAGGGTGGCAGGATTTAGGGTGTTACAGACTTCAATAGTTACGCGGGGAATTTCACACAGCAAGCTGTGGTACTTGGTTAATCTAGCATTTGTTAGCCAATGATGTCCTCTGGTATTCATCAAAGTTACCACAGCATGGGGGGCCTTTATATTCAGGTTTTGCCCAAGGGTTAGTTCATCTGCTTCTTGTGCTAACAGGGCTGTTGCTGCCAGGGCCCTTAGAGATGGGGGCCAGCCTTTGGAAACCCCATCTAGTTGTTTGAGAGATAGGCCACTGGCCTTGGCCAGGACCCCACAGTCTGGGTTAAAATTCCAACTGCCATTTGTTATCTTTCTGATACATAAAGTGTAAAGGGCTTTGTCAAATCTGGTAGTCCTAGGGCTGGGGCCGACATAAGTTTTTCCTTTAACTTACAAAAGACTTGCTGTTGTAGAGGCCCCCATTCAAAAGGCTCCCGGTCGCCCCCCTTTGTAACCCAGTACGAAGGTTTGGCTAGTACTGCAAAGTTTGGAATCCATAATCTGCAAAACCACAACTCCTAGGAATTCCTTTACTTGCCTTCTGTTTTTAGGTTCTGGTAGGTTGCAGATGACCTGCTTTCTTTCGGACCCCAGGCTGTGCTCCCCTTTCTGAATAGTGAATCCCAGGTAGCATACCTGCTGTCTGCAGATCTGAGCTTTCTTCTTGGACACCTTATACCCACAGTCCTCCAGGTGCTGAAGCTGGGCTTCAGTCCCTTTTGCACACCCGACTGCCGTGGAGTGTCCTGGCAGAAGGTCGTCCACGTACAGAAGCAAGACACAGCCTAGGTCTTTAGCAGGAAACTTTTGCAGGTCTTGAGCCAGGGCCTCCCCAAAGATAGTAGGGGAGTTCTTGAACCCTTGGGGAAGTCAGGTCCAAGTGTACTGAGTAGTGACACCTGACTCTGGATCTTCCCACTGAAAGCAAATGGCTTCTGGTTCTCAGGAGCTATTTTGATGCTAAAGAAGGCATCTATTAAGTCCAGACAGGTAAACCAGCTGTCCTCAGCCAGCAGCAGTCCTAACAATGTGTAAGGGTTAGGAACTGTTGGGTGCAGAGTCACTGTAGCTTGGTTGACCAAGAGCAAGTCCTGTACTGATCTGTAGTCCTTGGTCCCTGGCTTAGGGACAGGCAGGAAGAGGGTGTTCCATGGAGACTGGCAAGGAACTATAATTCCATAGGCTTTCAAGCACCTGAGATGAACCTGGATTCCTTTGAGAGTTTCTCTGGGAACTGGATACTGCTTTTGTCTAATTGGTTGGGCCCCAGGCTTAACTTCTATGAGTACGGGGGTTTGGTTGACCACCAGTCCCAGAGGATTATCCTCTGCCCATACTCAGGGCCATCGCTTAGCTAGAGCTGGTTTTATCTCTTGGCCTGGCTCAGTTAGAAAAAGTCTCCATTCTTCTTCCTGGGGGACCGTAAGGGCCATGATAACTCCTGTTCCTGGTAACTTTAGCTGTAAAGAGCCCTGTTTTGTAAAGGAGATGGTGAATCTCAGCCTGCTAAACAAATCTCTTCCCAGCAAGGGCAAGGGACAGTCAGACATGTACAAGAACTGGTGAACTATCTCATGTCCCCCATCCAAGCAGGTCCTTGGTAAACAGAAAGCCTGCTTAGTGGAAACTCCCATTGCTCCAATTATATCAATGGTTTTCTTGGATAAGGTGGCAACTGAGGTGGTCACTACTGAATGTTCAGCACCAGTATCAACCAAAAACTTAATGTCCTTGCCCCCAACTGTAATCCTGAATGCGGGCTCCTTGGGGGCACTTCAGCCCGGTCCCCTTCAGTCCAATAACCCTTCAGCCACACTGAACAAAGCTCCGTCGTCTTTATCTGAGGTCTTTTGTTCTGAACCACCTTGCTTTTCCTTCAGTTGGGGACACTTACTTTTCCAGTGTCCTATTTCCTTACAATAGGCGCATTGGTTATGTTGCAAGCATGGGTAATTAGACTGGGTATTCCTCCCAGAACCCCTCTTCCCTCTCCTTTCAGGGGAATTCCCTTAATGGCCGTGGCCAGTAAGTCGGCGTTTCGCCTAGCCTGGCATTAGCCTTCCTTACGGCTTTCTCTGCGGCTTGTTGCATCTCTATTCACAAACACTTGATTGGCTATTTCCAGTAACTGTGAGGTATTCATACCCACAAACCCAGCCTGTTTCTGCAATTTTCTCCTGATATCTTCCACACTTTGACTAAGGCCATGTTAATCATGCGCTGATTTTCAGGGCTATCTGGATCAAAAGGAGTGTACATACGGTAAGCCTCACAGTCTTTCATAGAATTGCACTAGACTCTCCTCTTTTCCTTGGATGACCTCAGAGACCACTACATTTGTAGCCTTTTCAGCCCCTTTCTTTAGACCTTCTATTAATGCCTCAGGGTACCACCTTAGCCTCTCCATGTCTGGTCCCTTGTTCGGGTCCCATTGGGGGTCTATTTCTGGCAGTTGAATTCTTATATATTCTTGGGGGTTTTGGTAATCGACTGGGATGTGCTCCTCTAGCCACTTAGTTGCCACCTGGAGCACCCTTCGCCTTTCATCTGCATTAAAGAGGTACGTGAGCAGCTGGTGGCAATCAGCCCAAGCAGGATTATGAGTCTGCGTAATAGTTTGGAGCAAGTCAATTAAAGGTTGAAGCTTTTCAGTGTAAGATGGAGTATTGTTTTTCCAATTGAGAAGGTCAGCAGAGATGAAAGGTTGATACACAAAGGCACGCCTTTCCACCATGTGACCATCCTCATCTACCCCAGTATATCACTGCCCTCTCAGGGGTATTTGATTTGCTGTCTTGGGCCATAAGCAAGCTGCCAAGGGATGAGTTTCTCCCACGGCTTCACTTCCTCTCTTGTCTACTCTGGGTGGTCTAGGGGTGTGGTTATCTGGTGGAGGTGTAAGTGCTGTGGGCTCAGGGATGGGAGAGCCCTTCCTCCCAACAAGGAGGGGGTATTGCTGGTACCAATTCCTGCCACAATTCTTCTGGTGTTGGGTTGGACAGGACTTTTGGGGCCAACTTCCCTCAGCGGGTGGAGCAAGAACCTTCCTTAACTGTCCCTTTGCTACTAGTACTGCTGCTGCCTGTCCTCTTAACCACTGTGGGGGGGTCTAAAACTAGCTGTAACCAAGAATCTATATGTGGGAACTGATCTGGGTACCCTGGCTTACAGGCTACCCTGTGCCATACCTTCAAGACAAGGGATCTGTCCAGGCATCCTTCTGATGGCCAAGCCACCTCTAATGCTGGCCAGTCTATCTCACACAAAGTTCTAAGTTTTCCTGGTGTCATGGTGACTCCATAGTCTCCCTTAAATCCTTTTTTGAAGTTTTTCAACATAGTTCCTAGTGGGGTGGGCTTACTTTGTGCCTGACCCATGTTTCCTCGAGACAAAACACCACGCTCACACCACACGCACACCACAAAACAAAGGGTAAAAAGGGCACACACACACTTTTACAGTTTACACCAAACCAGAACCAAAACCAAAATCAGAGTATCAGGAAATCTAAGCCAGGTCAAAACCAAAACCAAAGTATCAAGCAATCCAAGTCAAGTCAAAAACAAAAACCAAAGTGCTGGTACATGCACACTGTGGGTGATCAGGCCACGCTTCCACTCAAATGGAGTAGACAAGTTCCCAAGACCAGTCCTGTCAAGCAATTTAAACCAAGTCAAAACCAAAATGAAAGTGCCGATAAAGGCACACCGTGGGTGATCAGGCCATGTTTCCACTAAATAGAGTGGGCAAGTTCCTAAGACCAGTCCTGTCAAGCAATTCAAACCAAGTCAAAACCAAAACCAAAACCAAAACCAAACCTAAGTGCCAATAAAGGCATGCCGTGGGTGATCAGGCCACACTTCCACTCAAAAGGAGTGGGCAAGTTCTCAAGACTAGTCTTACCAAGTTTCAGATGTCCAGACTCCAAGTACTAGTTCCTCCCTGGTGTTCAGCCATTGCGTTGATCCTCCATGGGGGCCTGTCACACACTGCTCTGGCAAGGTGTCCCAGTGGGGCAAACGCCTACCCAGGAGTGCTCAGGATCCGTGTCACTCAGGCTGATCAGAGTCCCCTGCAGGGATGTTCCACAGGGCAGGCTTAAGCCGCCCAAGGAGCTGCCTCGACTATCCGCCAATCACCTTGTTTCCTGGTCAGGGAACCAAGAAATGTAGCAGGACGAGCAACAGACAAAACTCCTCAGACACCGAGTTAAAGAAGGAAGGCGTTTATTTAGCCGAGGGCATCAGCAAGACTCCTGTCTCAAGAGCCGAGCTCCCGGAGTGAGCAATTCCTGTCCCTTTCAAGGGCTCACAACTCTAAGGGGGTGCATGTGAGGGGGTTGTGATTGATTAAGCAAGCAGGGGGTATGTGACTGGGGGCTGCATGCACCAGTAATTAGATCGGAACAAAACAGGATGGGATTTTCACAGTGCATTTCTATATAATGTCTGTAATCTATAGATAACATAACCCTTAGGTCAGGAGTCAATATTTACCAGGCCCAGGGTGTGGTGGCAGGCTGTCTGCCTGTGGATTTCATTTCTGCCTTTTAGTTTTTACTTGTTCTTTCTTTGGAGGCAGAAATTGGGCATAAGACGATATGAGGGGGTGGTCTCCTCACCTGAGTCACAAAAACATTAAAATTAGGCCAATTAATAACTGTATAATGGTCTCTAAGTGTTCAAGTAAAAAGAAGAGTCGCACATCTCTCACTTTACATCAAAAACCAGAGATAATTAAGTTTACTGAGGGATGCATGTCAAAAACAGAGGCCAAAAGTTAGGCCTCTTGCACCACTTAGCCAAGTTGTGAGTGCAATGAGAAAGGAAATACGCTATTCCAGTGAACAAACGAGTACAGGAAAGTGAAACAGTTTTATTGCTGATACAGGTAAAGAGTGAGTGGTCTGGATACAAGTCTCTTCAGCTCTATAAAGACCAAGAGAGATGAAGAAATTGCAGAAGATACCAGCAAGAAGTTGGTTCGTGAGGTTCAAGGAACAAAACTGTCTCCATAACATAAAAATGCAAGGTGAAGCAGCAAATGCTGATGGAAAAGTTTTAGCAAGTGACCCAGATCTAGCTAAAATCATACATTTAGGTGACTACACTGAACAGCAGATTTTCAGTGTAAACAGTTTAACACTGGAGGATTTCCTTCCTTCCTAGGGA